ATTTATTTATTTTTCCCCCAAAGCCCCAGTACATAGTTGTCTGTCATAGCTGCACATCCTTCTAGTTGCTGTATGTGGGATGCGGCCTCAGCATGGCTGGAGGAGTGGTGCCTCGGTGCGCACCCAGGATCCGACCCCGGGCCGCCGGCAGCGGAGAGCACGCACTTAACCGCTAAGCCACGGGGTCGGCCCCAAGGCTTTTGATTTTTTAAATTTAGATTTGTGTTATTTAAATAGGTAACCCTTTTTAACTGTAATTTCTCCATTTTTTTCTCCCTGCTGTATAAAGGACTAACTCTATCATTGAAACACCATATCTAATAGATATGTCTAAATGAGCATATATTATGTAGACAATTATTACTGTGACTTTGAAGTTAATTACTCACTCTTGGCCAAACCTGAAACACCAGCTCTCAGCTTATCTGTGTCGTAATTTTCACAACATTTAGAAACTACTGGCTTTTGATTACTACATATTATCTGTTCATATGTAATCTATAAAGTTTTTAAAATATCTTTTTACAGTTTTAGTTTTTATTTTTATAATAATTTTTGATATAAAAGTAGTATACACTAAATGTAAAATTTTTTAAACACAAATAAGCAAAAAGGAAAATAAAACTAATCTGTATGCCTACTATCCAGAGATATGCTCTTTTAACATTTTGATGTGTTTCCTTCCACTCTACTCTTTATGTATCTGAATACTTGTTTTGCAAAAATGGATTGTACTGGATATGCTCTTTTTTTTTTTAATTTATTTTTTTTCCCCCAAAGCCCCAGTAGATAGTTGTACGTCATAGTTGCACATCCTTCTAGTTGCTGTATGTGGGACGCGGCCTCAGCGTGGCCAGAGAAGCAGTGCATCGGTGCACGCCTGGGATCCGAACCCGGGCTGCCAGTAGTGGAGCGCGTGCACTTAACCACTAAGCCATGGAGCCGGCCCTGGATATGCTCTTTTTAAACTGCTGTTTTTTTCTCCTTTTATAGTAGATCATGAAAATTTTCTCCTGCCGTTATATTTTTCTACAATATAATTTTTAAGGGCTGTAGTTATAAATTATTCTGTTGTATGTGTGTATCATATTTAGCCAATTATATATTATAAAACATTTACATTCCAAATTTTCCCTGTTATTAAAAGTAGTGCAACTTATAGCACTTGTTCATAGAGTTTGAAATTTTTAAACATTAAAAATGTTGTAGATATGCTAGAAACATATATGAAGACTGATCTTCAAAGACACTGATGTGTCCAAAATTACAGAGGTAGGATATGAGAAATCTGTTTTATCTTGGATTCTTTTTCTACCACAGTACACACTGGTTGGCTTTAGCCAAAGTTCCTTATCCACTGAGAAATTGAAATTTGGCCAAGAGGAGTTGAATTTCTTACTGTTGGAATTTTATTAAACAGAGTATACCTTTAACTTTTTCATTTATGCTAGTCAGTTTTAGTTTGTCACAATCTTTGAATAAAAATACCTTATTACACTTGTGTAATAGTTATTCTATATTTTAATATATTTGTTTTTTAAGTGACATTTGCCAGTTATTTTGGTTACACCTACAGCAGGTTTGTTCATTTATTTTTTTATTTATTGAGCTATTTTAGGCATTGTTATTAAAGTATAAAATCAGAGGGGGTTTTTTTTTTGCAGTGAAGGAGTAAAGCAACTAACAGTCATAACTTTTGTTTCTATAAGATAGCAGTGAGTAAATTGTTGTCTGAACTACTAATGAAATATTTAAAAATCATTATTAGTATAGCTAAGCTAATTTATAGTTTTAGATTATGAATTGTATTCTCCAAGTGATCGGTATTTGATGTATGTTTCTAATAGGTTCATTTCAGCCAACAAATGAAATGATGCTCAAGTTCTATAGCTTCTATAAGCAGGCAACTGAAGGACCCTGTAAACTTTCAAGGCCTGGATTCTGGGATCCTGTTGGAAGATATAAATGGTAATTTTATATGGAAAGCCATGAAAAAATTTTTAGTTTAATGACATAATTATCATATGACTGTTATTTATGTGGTTATGCATTATTCTTTGCATAAAGGGTTCTAGGTACTGGATACAATTTTTATCCTCCAGGTGCTCTTAACATAATTTCACCCCAATAGGAACTTAGGGAAGAGAGGAAAACAATAAAACCAAACGGAGTAGATGCATCAAAGATAAAAAAGCACTCTTAGTTAGTCTTCCCTTTTATGGAGTTTTTTCTTTTTATTATGCCAAGAGCAACTCCCAAACTAAGTTAAATAAACAAACAAACTCTCCTGTCTCTTTTACCTGCCAAGAAAAATAAGGACTTTTGTTTGTGACAGTGTTTGCTTTGAGCTTTTAAGATAAGAAGTAACTAGGAACATGACTCAGGTACCACCATGCTGACTTTTTATCTAAAGCTGTCACTCCTGTCCCACTGTGCTTGAATAGAAATTTGATTTTTAATATACTTAAAAGAATCATAAAGTATCCAGAGATGCCTCTGCCATTTTTTCCAATTGACTAACATTTAATGTTCTTAAATATTATTGAAGACTTTACAAATATCTAACAAAACGTCTAATGTAGTCTAACATAAACTGTATGTTATGAACGGAATTTGCTAATTGGTGAAGCATGTCTTAAGAGCCACAGATGCTTGCTCCACTTTGGTGGCCCGGGGTTAGCCAGTTCGGATCCTGGGCACGCACCAACCCACCGCTTGTCAAGCCATGGTGAGGCGGCATCCCATATAAAGTAGAGGAAGATGGGCACGGATGTTAGCCTGGGGCCAATCTTCCTCAGCAAAAAGAGGAGGATTGGCATCGGATGTTAGCTCAGGGCGGGTCTTCCTCACACACAAAAAAAAGAGCCACACATTTTGATGGCTAAATTTCTTCACCTTGAGTTGGAAGTCCTTAAATTCCTTTGAGAATTTCTTAGTACTATACTTTCTTCTAAAATCTTTATGAATAGTCATAAAATAATAGGTTAATTGTAATAGCAATATGTTATTTAATCTGTTTCAAGAAATTTATTTATTTACTTTATGATTTTTCCTCAGTATTGACCTTTGGTGGAGTTCACCTGCTTCTGGAAAAGTATAAAAAGAAAGATTTTCATGTTAGGCAAAAATTTCAAAGGACTATTCTCGTTATTTAGGGGTTTAAAATTTTCCTGTCTTTCACATTTTCATTTTTTTAGAAGTAAGAAACTTTGCATTTATCAGGTGTATAAGTTAGACTCTTATTTAAATTAATGGAAACTTTTAACTAGAACTTCTATTTGTTTTAAAACATGGCTGTGACAGTTCATGTAGAGTCTTCTAAAGTATTCAGTATAAAACTCTCCTTTATAATGATATCAAAACTTTTCAAGAGTTCTTAGCAAATATTTATGAACAGTCTATAGTCTATATAATATATTCTCTATAATCTACAGAAAATAGTTTATAGTCTATAGATGGGCTATAGACTATAGTTTATAGCCTTAGATGGGTTGTATACTTATTGAGTTTTAAATACTATTTAATTTGCCAGTTTATTCATTGTGATATTTTTCTTCAAGGCGGTGCATTTAAAGAGATGCTTTGGAAACGTAATAGGGCTTTAAGTAGAGCCTGTTTTTTTTTTTTTTTGTGAGGGAGATCAGCCCTGAGCTAACATCCATGCTAATCCTCCTCTGTTTTTGCTGAGGAAGACCGGCTCTGAGCTAACATCTATTGCCAATCCTCCTCCTTTTTCCTCCCCAAAGCCCCAGCAGACAGTTGTATGTCATAGTTGCACATCCTTCTAGTTGCTGTATGTGGGACTCAGCCTCAGCATGGCTGGAGAAGTGGTGCGTCGGTACACGCCCGGGATCTGAACCAGGGCCGCCAGTAGCGGAGTGCCCGCACTTAACCGCTAAGCCACCAGGCCGGCCCAAGTAGAGCCTGTTTTAAATTAATGACCCTATACCATCAACTATAAATTGTATTCTGAGCAATTGACAATCAAGTGTCTTTTTATTGTTATTTGGATATTTTCATTTCTAGGGATGCTTGGAGTTCACTGGGGAATATGACCAAAGAGGAAGCCATGATTGCATATGTTGAAGAAATGAAAAAGGTAGGGAAAATAATTCACAATAGGAAATAAAAATATTCAAAGCGGCTCTAATTTAATTTTATCAGGCAAATTAGCTTCTTTGTTTTAAGGAACAAAGAGATTGTCATATGTTAGAATATAGACCCTAGACTATTGAATTTATTAGGGCTTTATCTGTCTCGTCAAAGTTCATCTTAAGGTGAGTGTTTTTTCCTTAAGATATATCGCATTGTGGTGATATCTTGATATTTTTTTGTTTTTCGTCTTCCCTATCTTTCTCTATAGTCAACTTCTGCAAAAGTATGGAATAAGAATCTTTTAAAATATTGATGTCCCTTCCTCAGGAATCTGGGAAGTACCTGGGCTGTCTTGAAAATACTTCTGCTTTGGAACTTTTTATTGAGGAGAAATAGTTAAAAGAATGCCCAACGGTGTTCTTGTACAAGTTTTGACTCATAAACTGAGATATTCCTATCACTGGACTTCTCAGTAACACGCATTTTTCTGTGAACGCAAAGATCCTTCAGAAGCAGAATAATATAAGGATACTTTTAGTTTCTCTGGTAACTACTAAGGAGTCCGTTCCTTATTAACTAGCTCTTTTAAGTCTGTTCAAGGGATTGTTTAGAGGAGCAAATTTATGAAGAAATCATAGATTTTAAAGATAATCTTAGTGCCTTTTTATAAAGGACCACTTTTATGTTGGAGATGGATCAGAATTTGTGAAATCTGGATCTGTTTGATAATCTTAAATAAATTATCTTTGAACATGAAGAAAGTCTGTGGAAAGGAATAGTTTTTTTGCCAGATGGTTTTATAGCATTAATCTCTTCAGTAATTTCTATTTTGCAGATTCAGACTTTTTTTTTTTTTTTTTTTGGTTCTAATCTCTTGTACACTGCTCAAAGTTGTGCCCTTTGTTACATTTTCACAATTTTTTTTTCAGTGAACTTTGTTTATTTATAACAGAGGGCAGAGTTTAGTGCTTTTGGCTGAAAGCCAAAAAGGCCCATGTTCCTTTTTCTTTACCTTAAATAGCATTATAATTTTTAGGACACACTTCTGTAATGTAAAGTTGAATTGATACATTAAATAAAATTTACCCATTTTTCCTATCCAATTTTGTTAATTAATGATGTAGCCACAAAGTGGGAGGGGGATGAAACAATGTGTGTTCTATTGTTTTTTTCCAAGAAAGATTAAAACTATACTCCTGCCTTTTAGCTGTCTTAAAATACTTACACTGTGCCTGTAGACTTCTGTAACTACTCTAACTAAAAGAATACACCAACTATTTTCATTCATACTTTTAAAATTTCATTTCATACTGTGAATATAATAAAGTTTATGGTAAACTTTTAGAGATAAATCTAAAAATATTAGGATATCCATAGATTGAAAATTTGGTTAGTCTTTTAAGTTATTTTTAGAGTTTAGCTTTATGGACATCAGTAGATAAAACTGTGTCTTTCCAGATAATCATGTGGGATAGTACATTATCCCAAAGATCTGATTACTAGATTTGGGACTTTTTCTAATTGCAATAATTTACTAACTGAAGCAGTTATCAAATCATGTTCTTAAATGTAGTTCACAAATCACTGTACTATTGCTCTTTAGAATTACTCTTTTAGGGGCTGGCCCATTGGCATACTGGTTAAGTTTGTTTGCTTTGCTTTGGTGGCCTGGCATTCACAGGTTCAGATCTTAGGTGCAGACTTACACACCGCTCATCAAACCATGCTGTGGCAGCGTCCCACATTCAAAATAGAGGAAGATGGGCACAGATGTTAGCTCAGGGCCAGTCTTTCTCAAGCAAAAAGAAGAAGATTGGCAACAGATGTTAGCTCAGTGCCAATCTTCCTCACCAAAAAAAAGAATTGCTCTTTTAGTATAAGTCTCATTCTATGCCTTTGATTTCAAGAGTTTAGGGTACCTTGTTAATTTAATTTATATGTTATAATAGATAATGTTTTATGGAAAATTGCTTTTCATAATTTATAAACTTTCCAGTGAAATATCGCTGAAAAAGTTGCTAGAATCAAAAATTCTTTTAAAATAATTTAATAGGATTTCAGATTTGAGGGAATAGAGTAACTAATGTGGTTTGGGGGAGAAATCTGTGTTTATTTTATTATTATTATTTTTTTTATTTTTTTAAGATTTTATTTTTTTATTTTTTTCCTCCCAAAGCCCCAGTAGATAGTTGTATGTCATAGCTGCACATCCTTCTGGTTGCTGCATGTGGGACACAGCCCCAGCATGGCCAGAGAAGCGGTGCATTGGTGCGCGCCCGGGATCCGAACCCAGGTCGCCAGCAGCGGAGCGTGCGCACTTAACCGCTAAGCCATGGGGCCGGCCCATGTGTGTTTCTTTAAATAAAATTTATTTTGATTCATAATCAGAAAGAAGTATAAAATTCTATTTTCTGTACAAACTTTACAGGCTATCTTATGAGGATTTCAAGAAAATTCAGCCAGTATTTGAATAATGTCTATTATGTCTTTGGAGCTTAAAGAGAGATCAGTGGACTCAACTCTGTGACTACACATTAGAATCACCTGGGGATCTTGTAAAAGAGAAATACAAATGCCCCAGCATACCCCAGGCTATTTCAGGATTTCTAAGAGGATGAGGTAATCACTGTAATAGAGGGAGGATTAGAACAGAGTCTCAAAGGGTGGAACCTGAAAGTTACCATGGTGGAGGGTCTGGTCAATAGCTCTGCAAGTCCAGGACATTGGCCTTCTCTGAGTAGTGAAAGTGGATTTGTTTTTTAAGACTTGACTCATGATAACCATCTTTTGGAAGTTTAGGAAAAAACCAAAATGCCAATTTCTTAGCTTACAGTGGGTGATATGCTTTTCTAGTGCTCAGCATACTCAGGATTGAGATATGGGACATCCCTCAAAATGTCAGAGGCACTTGGGAAACTGGATTAGTATTGATAAGATTGTCTGTTGAACAGAGAGTAGAGCACTGGGATTTGGATGGCTTTAAGAGATGTGTCCCTATGACAAAAAAGCTCAAGGAGTGTAGTCTTTGCTTTACAGTACAGTATACCAGTACCTTTCTAGTATATTTTCATCAGACAGAAGTGATGTCTCTCACTGAGGAAAAGTGCTGGAGAAACCAAGAAAAATTACTGTGCTTCAGATGCTGCTTTTCTAGAGTCCATGCAGCTTACCAGATATTTCTGTTACAACATTCTTCATTTGGATGTTATAATCCAGTTGAATTAACTTAATTACCTTACACTTTACATAAAATCTCTGAGGATAAGTAGTAGTTACCTAGACTGAGATTTGCCTCTGTCACCTTTTCTGTCTGTGTCTTTCTCTCTCTCTGCTTGTTTCTTTTTTCTTTTTTTTTTGTGAGGAAGATCAGCCCTGAGCTAACATCCATGCTAATCCTCCTCTTTTTGCTGAGGAAGACCGGCTCTGAGCTAACATCTATTGCCAATCCTCCTCCTTTTTTTTTCCCCCCCAAAGCCCCAGTAGATAGTTGTATGTCATAGTTGCACATCCTTCTAGTTGCTGTATGTGGGACGCAGCCGCAGCATGGCCAGAGAAGCGGTGCGTCGGTGCGTCGGTACGTGCCTGGGATCCGAACCCGGGCCGCCAGTAGCAGAGCGCGTGCACTTAACTGCTAAGCCACAGGGCCAGCCCATCTGCTTGTTTCTTGTGTGTGTGTGTGTGAGAGTGACTATGTGTGTGTGCCATTTCTTTTATTTCAACATTGGAGTAAGGGAGAGAATTTTGCAAAGGGCGAAGATTATTCTTAGTTTTTGTGTTTTTTTTTTTTTTTTGTGAGGAAGATCAGCCCTGAGCTAACATCCATGCTAATCCTCCTCTTTTTGCTGAGGAAGACTGGCTCTGAGCTAACATCTATTGCCAATCCTCCTCCTTTTTTTTTTTCCCCCAAAGCCCCAATAGATAGTTGTATGTCATAGCTGCACATCCTTCTAGTTGCTGTATGTGGGACGCGGCCTCAGCATGGCTGGAGGAGCGGTGCGTCAGTACGCGCCCAGGATCCGAACCCGGGCCGCCAGTAGTGGAGCGTGTGCACTTAACCGCTAAGCCACGAGGCTGGCCCAAGTTTTTGTATTTTTAAAGTTTCTGGGGCCGGCCTGGTGGTGCAGCGGTTAAGTGCGTGTGCTCCAGTTTGGTGGCCTGGGGTTCGCAGTTTCGGATCCTGGGTATATGGCGGTGTCCCATATAAAGTAGAGGAAGATGGGCGTGGATGTTAGCCCAGGGCCACTCTTCCTCAGCAGAAAAGGGGAGGATTGGCATCGGATGTTAGCTTAGGGCTGATCTTCCTCGGAAAAAAAATAATAAATTTTCTTCTTCAGAGAGTAACCTCTTAAATTTTGGGTGTATCTTGCTCTGGCCACTTGTGTCTTGACTATATCAACTACTGAAATTCTAGGTTATTGAAAGAAAAATTACTCTGCTTATATTTGCTTAGCACCAGCACATACTCCATTTATTTAGTTCTGACATTTCAAGTCCATAATTCACTCTCTTACTTTATGGGGTGTGAGAAATCCAAACACTGAATCAGGTAGGCCTGCTTTAATTTTTAATTGAGAGATAACTAAAAGAAATCTGGTTTGGAGGAGGATCAAAGGAGGTGGTGAGTAGGGGTCAGGGTGGGATATGTGGTAGGCTTACCAGATTCTGCTCAATCAAGTGTTTATATACACTCTTCCAGTGTGGAATAGTGTAAAGGGTGCTGACTTGTGTTTGAATCATATCTCTACCATTTATTTGCTGTGTCTTTGGTCATATCAAAGTAAACATTACCTTATGGTTCCAATTCTTGGTTTGAATCTAATTCTTGGAATTACTATTATAATCCAAATATATTACAAATCATGTATATGTAATAAGCTATAAAAATGCTCTCCCTAGTGGCCCCAGCCTTACAATAAGAAGTATTTTCTTTAGCAAAAAGGTAATTTTATGATTAAAGCATTCTTTTCACTCCCATCCGTTGACAGGAACAGCAATTAGATAATTTACTGTGAGCCATAAAATTAAATTATAATCACCAAAACTAGTTATTGTTAACATAGTTCATTCTGTATAATCTCTCTCAACACCCCCCACTCCCAGGCCCACAAACACACATGGTGGTGGTGTTGCTGGGTGTATCTCAGCTCAGAATCATATCCGAGTTGCTAATGACCATAGACTACTGATGATCTTTCCTGTATCTGGTTTAAAAATAAAAGCACGTCATTTGAACAAGAATTTTAACTAAAATACAGGAGTGATCAAAAACAGATGAAGGCTCTTTTTCATTGAGCTTACATTCTGTTGTGAAAGAATGTGCACTCGTATGTGGAAGATGCACAGACGCATGGATAAAGAGAACAGATTAGTGGTTAGCGGAGGGGAAGGAGGTGGGAAGGTGGGCGAAAGGGGTAAAGAGGCCCATATGTATGGTGATGGATAAAAACTAGACTATTGGTGGTGAGCATGATGCAGTCTATACAGAAATTGATGTATAGTAATGTACACCTGAAATTGCACAATGTTGTAAACAAATAAGACCTCAAAAAAATAATTAAAAAAAAAAAAAGATAGTCGGTGAATGAACAATAAATCTGGGGGAATGACTAATGAGTCCGAGGTTGTTGTTAAATCTAAAGATACAAGTGGCCACTGTAAAACTGCATATAAGCTGAAAATGTATGCAAGAATGACATAATTTTACATGAAGCTTATGTAAAATAGTCTTCAAAATGAGAGCACTTTTAAATCTTTAATATACTTGAAACTTGTCTAGGTGAGTATATACATTAAGTATGTGATTAATATAGATACTTTGAGAGTCTATAAATGAACTTAAAATCTCAAAATTATCAATAAATGAATTGTAAATATTATACTATTTGATACTAGCGTAGGTCAGATTGTTTGTGATTTCACAAGATTTGTTTCTTTTGATTACAGATTCTTGAAACTATGCCCATGACTGAGAAAGTTGAAGAATTGCTACAAGTCATAGGTCCATTTTATGAAATTGTAGAGGACAAAAAGAGTGGCAGAAGTTCTGATTTAACCTCAGGTTGGACTATTTTACCTAGTTTTTAATTCAGTAACGGATATATTATGCATGCATTAATATTTATATGTCTAAATTTTTTTTTTACTTTCACATGCCAGTCCGACTGGAGAAAATCTCTAGATACTTAGAAGGTAGGAATAATGAAATCCATGTAAAAATTTTGTTTAAAATTTACATGCCAAAGAATTCTGCACAAATTTATATAACTTATAAGCTTGTCACTCAAATTTTCATTCCAAGGAAGCACATTAAAGTTTGAAAATATTATAAACCCTTAAGTTTTAACTCTTAAGTTATGAGAACATGACAGGTGGTTCACTTAATACATACAAAATTATAACAAAATTCATACTTTTATTTTGAAGGATGATATTTTCTATTTTGCTTTATGAATTATATTAGCAATACTGTGGCTGAAATGATTTTCTAGCTAACTTTGAAGTGGATGTGTTTGCAGTGGTTTGATTATAGTGTAGCAAGCTAAAATTCTCAGTGAAGAATTGAAAGGCTTGTCTTTCACGTACTAGCAGGAGTTGAATGATATGCTGATTTGCTGGTATTAACTGTAAGCGTTTGCTCTTCAAATTTTTTTAGAAAGCAGAGTAAAATGAGCCTGTAAGAGTCATTTTAAATGAAAATTATATATGTTTTAATATATGGTGTCCCTTTTTTTTCTGGCATCCCTATTTACAAGGCATCTTTTAGTAACTGATGGAAATTACAGTGTTTCAGAACAGTAATCATCCTGTCCTGTCGTAAGGCCTGTGGTGCGCATTGGCCATAGTAAATGATAATGATTGCATGCTGTGCATACCTCTGTACCACTCCTTGTTTATCTGATTTGCCTAGAAGAGTCAAATATTAACAGATAATCTTCCTTATTCATGCGTATTCAATTCAGAAAAAATATTAAGTGTTTTCTCTGTGTAAAGCATGTTATTAGGATGTGGAAGGGAAGAAATCTGGACTTGGCTTTAGTATACCTGCTTTAGGGTCAGAGGCAGAGATGTTTCAACAACTAATTATAAAAACAAAGAAGAGTTAATAATAATAATAAAGGCTCAGGTCCACAGTCCCTTAGCTATAATTTAATAATTCAAAAGCATTGGGAAAAAAACCTTGATAAACTAAAGATTTTTTTGTTACTCATTTGGCAGCAAAACCTGTCCTGACATGAACTACTTGAGGAGCAAACCCTGGCCTAAAATGACAGGAGGCTATTTTAAGTCTTTATTTATCCTGTTTAGTGTGACTATTCATATGTTTTGCTGCAAAAGTCTTAATTTTTTTTAGTAAGAGCTGCCTAGACTCTGTTGAAGGTGTTACATAATATACAGTATATATAGTGTATGCAAAAATCTTAATTTTTTTTTTAGTGAAAGCTGCCTAGACACTGTTGAAGGTGTTATATAATATACAGTATATATAGTGTATGACCTTTGCAAAATTAGAAAAGTCTGGATTTTGAATCATATCTGGATCCAAGGGTAGTAAGGGTGTGGACCTGTACCATAGTTTATTTAACCTGTACCATTCTAATGGACATTTAGATTGCTTCCTCTTCTGATCTTCAAAAATGCTGCTGAAAGGAACCATGTACAAATGTCATTTTACATATTGGAAGTATATCTGTAAAAAATAATATTAGGAGTATAATTGCTGGATCAAAGGATACGGGTGTTCGACGAGTGTTTGCAATTTTATAAGATATTGCCAAATTGCAAGGCAGCTTGCAATCTTGATTTTTTTTGTTTTAACAAAGCACCGTGTTAAAAGTAGCCATTTAGGTCCAGTAGAACAGATATATCTGTGTCACACAGGCTTTTTCAGAATATACATACGTAGTAAGTTTTGAAATCAAGAAGTAGGCGCCATCCAGCTTTGTTCTTTTTCAAGATTGTTTTGGCTACTCTGGATCCCTCACATTTCCATATAAATTTCAGAATCAGCTTGTCAATTTTTGCCAAACAAGCCAATTGAGATTCTGATAGGGATTGCAATGAATCATAGATTATTTTGGGGAGTATTGTCATCTCAACAATATTGTCTTCCAATCCATTTATTTAGATCTTCTTTAATTTCTTTCATATTTTGTTATTTGCAGTGCATAATTCCTACACCTTCTTTTGTCAAATGTATTCCTAAGTATTTTATTCTCTTTGGGGCTATGTAAATTGAATTGTTTTCTAATTTCATTTTTGGATTGTTTATTGTTAGCTTATAGTAAGACAATTGATTTTTGTATATTGATCTTGTATCGTGCAACCTCACTGAACTATTTATTAGTTCTAATAGTTTTTTTGTAGATTCTTTAGGATTTTCTACATATAAGAGCATGTCATCTGCAAACAGAGACCATTTTACTTCTTTCTTTCCAATCTGGATGCACGTTATTAATTTTTCTTGCCTAACTACCATGCCTAGGACTTCTAGTACAATATTAAATAGAGATGGCAAAGCAGACATCTTTGTCTTGTTCCTTATTTTAGGAGCACAGCATTCAGTCTTTTTATATAAAAAGTGATGCTTGGTTCTGAGTTTTCTTAGATGCCCTTTATCAGTTTGAAGAAATTCTTTTGTATTCTTAATTTCTTTGGCATTATTATCATGAAAGAATGTTGGGTTTTGTTAAGTACTTTTTCTGCATCTATTGTTATAATCGTGTGGCTTTTGTCTGTAGTCTGTTAATATGATGGATTACATTCATTGATTTTTGGACGTTGAGTAGGGCTCCTTAGTAATTCTCTGTGCTTTCTACAACCCTCATCACGGAACTGCTATGATGCTGCTTTTGCTTCTGTCAAGTGGTTTTGCTACGACCATCCATTTGATGGGGGTTTTGGGGATTCCCTGTTACTTAGTTTTGTTGAATATGTCTGTGGGTGGTGGGTATTTTTTTTTTTTGTGAGGAAGATCAGCCCTGAGCTAACATCCATGCTAATCCTCCTCTTTTTGCTGAGGAAGACCGGCTCTGAGCTAACATCTATTGC